GGTGAGGAGTTAGAAAGGGGTAGCAGGTGAGGTGGGGATGTGGACACTGTGTTCTCAAGACTACTTCTTGCTGACCTGGGGGTGTTGTTCATCTTTGGGTGACCTGAGAAAGCTGCGATGCTTGCCATGTCCTACAGTACCCGGCTGTTACACTTCCCTCTCCAGACTCTGTAGAACCGTCAGGCATCACTTGGACCTGCCAAAATGCTCTTCTAGGTGGATTCAAGTTGACTCCCTAGGGCTTAAAGCATCTGATCCTTTCCCATTACCACAGCACCACCCAGACATTCTCCTTCTGTCCAATCTACCAGGAAATAGGGGGATTGCCAAGGGCAATCATTGGCTTTCTGTGTGTATCCCTGGCTGTCTTGGAACTTGCTTTGTAGACCAGGCTGGCCTGGAACTCAGACATCGGCGTTTCTGTTTCTTAAGTGCTAGTGCTGGAACTAAAGGTGTGGACTACCACTGCCTCCCATCCCACCTCCCTTCTTTTTTGGACAAGTGAGACGCACAGATCTGAATCAGAGTTGAACAACTTACAACACTGAAGAAAAGTAACAAGTGTGCTTTATACCTTTTACCATTAAGACTTTCCTTTAAGTGGCTACCACATGACTATTGGAGTTTCAGAAAGGCATCCTAATCTGCTTCAGGGAGATAATTCCCCATTCTGGGATTTTTAGGTGGCAATGAACATGAGACTCAAAACACTCAAAGAAAGGTGCCAGCAAAGGCAATTCTCATTTTCTGTCATTTCTGATCATGAGGCCTGTTAATAAGGTTGGCTTCTGAACCTTAGCAAAGTATTCCCTGCCTAAAAGTTCTCTCATGTCTAACCATTGACCCCTCCCAATTTCCCTGACAGCCAATCATAAGGCACACTTGATCTAAAAGGCTAAGTCAAGCCTGGAAATGCCCAATGGCAGATCGAGCTGGAATCACATGTCCAACTTACTCTACTGACTAGAACTTTAAGACATTAAATGTAGCACACCACGCCCGTCTGCGCTCCATCCACAACCATACAGTTTGTGAAAAGGGCAAGGGGCTGGATATTGAAACACATAAAGACTCACAGACTGAGACAAAGGTCATCCTTTATGCCAAAATGCCCCAAGAATGCCCCCTTTATTGTGTACCAGAGCCACTTATATAGAGATCCTTAACTGATAGCCTAGAGACCATTGCCATTGTTGCCATATTTTGACAAAGAATGTGGCTTCTTTTTTGTCCTTGTCTGAAAAACCTGCCTGAGGCTAAATTGAAAAGTTTTGGATTAATGGCTTTGGTAGAGGAGATTTCAAGATAGCTTAGTATTGACCCTGTCCTGGGGTTATTAGTAATTCTTATGCAGACCTGTAATGATTAAAAGGAGTAAGCTGGACAAAGAAATACAAATGTAGTTAGGGGAGAAAAGGAGCAGGAGAAAGTGTAATGAAGCTAAGTCTAGTGCTTGAGGAGATAAAAAGTTGAAAGAAAAGCATGATGCTATATGAAATAAAGTTTAACCTCAGTACAAGCCCTTGCCCAGCTAAGCTTCCAAGATGTGCAATGGAATTAAAAAGAGAAGTTTAGGCAGTGAAGGAAACCACCGCCAACAGAAAGCTGGTGAAAAATGAGGGGGCCAGTTCCAGCAAACAGCAGAGCTTCTGCCATGTGGTTCCAGCTATAGAGTTAAAGATTCAAGAAGGGGGTTGTGGAATCTCCTTCTGAGACTAAGGAGAGCTGCGGAAATGAGGCATGTCGGGGTGTCCCTGCAAGGAGGCCCAGAGAAGACATTGTGTGAAGCTGTGAAGGTGAAGACTGGACTGTCTTGAAAACCTCAAGGTATTGGAGATACCAGTCATGGGATACCTGCTAAGGAGAGCTGCTAACAGGATGTGCAACCCACCCAAGAAAGAGAAGTATGTTGTAGTCAACAAAGCTGAAAGGAGTTGGAGATCTGAAGCATGCATTGACATTAGACATAGAGATGCAGAATTTGGAGTATGCCCTCCTGGTTTCATTTTGCTTTGGTCCAGTATTTCCTCACTCTCTTCCCTTTTGGAATAGTAATACATATTTTGTGCCATTATATGTTGGAAGTATGTAATCTGTTTTTTTATTTTGACTTTACAGGGGATCACAATTCAGAGATTGCATGAACCTCAGAAGAAACTTTCAACTTTGGACTTTTAAATAATGTTGAGACTGACAGACTACAGGGATTTTTGAAGTTGGACTAAATGCAATTTTGCATTATGAAATGGATACAAACCTAGGGGAGCCAGTGAGTAGAATGTAGTGCTTTGAATAACCCCCTTTGACTCATTTGAATGCTTAGTCACTAAGAGTGACATTATTTGAAAGGATTAGAAGGATTAGGAGGTATGAACTTGTTGGAGGAAGTGTGTCATTGGAAGTTGGTGTTGTGGAATATTATTTTAAGATGTGTTATGCTTTGAACATTGGTTTTAATGATACAAACACTGTTTTATGATACAGTTGTTTTAACTCTTTGAAGCTGTGCTACTTTGTCTAAAACACCTGATTGGTCTAATAAAGAGCTGAATGGACAATATCAAAGCAAGAGAAAGAACTGGTGGGACTTGCAGGGAAAGAAAATAAATATGAGAAGTCTGGAAGGGGGAAGTCTAGGAGTCAGAGAGGAATAATAAAAGGAGGAAGATTCCGGGGCTAGCCACTCAGTTACACACCAAGTCACAGAGAAAGAAGTAAAGAAAGGTATACAGGAATAGAGAAAGATAAAGCCCATGGGCAAAAGATAAGACAAGATAATTTAAGTCAAGAAAATCTGGCAAGAAACAAGTCAAGCTAAGGCCAGTCATTAATAAGAAACAATAAGCCTCTGTGTATTTATTTGGGAGCTGAGTCATAGCCCCCTCTTCTCCAGAGAGCCAAAAGAGTAGAAAACAACCAACAGCACTTGGGCTTTGAGGTTTCAAAAGTCCATTCCAAGCCTAGAGGCCCTCTTTCCGCCTATGGATCAGGATGTACCTCTTGGCTACTGCTCCAGCACCTGTCCGCAAGGTGCCTTGCCCCCTACTACGATGATAATGGGCTAACCTCTGAAACTGTAAGCAAGCTCCCAATTAAATGCTTTATTGTATACCAGTTGTCTTGGCCATGGTGTTGCATCACAGCAATAGACGTGCAGTGACTAAGAAGTGACTAAGACACAGCTTTTTGTTTTTACACCTTATTCAGTCAGCTGCACACTTTCCATTGACTGGAACCCGTTATTCATGGCACACAGATACCTTACTCAGTTTAGGCTTGGGCTCAGTTAGCTTGTGGGTAAGGATTGAAGAAGAGGCTTTGTAGGGGTTAGTTTTTTTGTTTTCCTGTGGTGGGGAATGGGAGGTCAGAGCCTAATTGTCTAGACAAGAGCTTACCACTGAGCTATGTGACCTAACCTCAAGAAGACATTTGAATTAAAATGGGCGAAGGAAGGGCTTAGTATGCAATTGAGAACTCAAGATTGCATAGAGTAGGAATTCTTTGCCCAGGGATCCACACACACTTGAAAATGAATGCAAATGACAAGAAGCCTTCTTCGGAGCAGTGTTAAACAGGGGCTTCCACCAGTCTTCTCAATGGAATCTGAACTGTGTGTTCCAGACAGTTGACTCGGCATTGTCATTCACTGTCTCACATAGTACTCCAGGCTGGCCTCCAAATTCACAGAGATCCACCTGTCTCTGCCACCCGAGGCCACATTAACAATTCCTGATCCTCCTCCTTTAGCCTCCCAAGAGCAGGCAGGTCCCCATCTTTTTCCCCCATTCTTTCATCATGTTTGGGAGCATCAGCAATCTCTCTTCATTTGGCCCCCAGCTCTCAGAGTTTCCTGACTTTTCAACTCCATCATGGTTCTCTGGAGCACTCTTGTTTCACTTTTCTCCTAACCTCACCCTCCAAATCTTTCAACTCGTTTGTTCTGGCCATTGACATTCCCTTCAAGGTCAGTAGGGAAAAATAAAAAAGCAGCCAAGGTGAACAGTTGAAGGACAGAAATGAAAAGGTCTTATCCAGCTGGGTGTGGGGGCACCCACACTCAAAATGAGGTTCAGTCTTATGCAGGTGGATCTCTCTGAGTTGGGGACCAGCATGTTTTACAAGAGTTCCAACCTAGCTAGGGCTACACAGTGATAGCATGTCTTAGAAACAAACAACAAAAACAAAAACAAAACACAAAAATATTCTTATTAGTGAGCACAATTATCTTAGAACAACGGCTTACCCATCACCCATACTTGGATTATCCCACCCCAGCTACTGTGGGGATGGCACTGAGGCCGCTTCCCGTGTGGGAAGAGCACAGTGAGAATGAATCTTCCAGAATGTTTCGGTGAGTCCCGCCACCTCTTTCCTCCCTGCCACTGGCTCGGCCAAGGCCTTCCTCCAAGTCCGGGAAGAACGCCGCTGTTCCGCCCGCTCCCACGAGCCTCGGTGGCGGCCAGCGTCCCTGCGTAGAGGAAAGGGGAGGAGGGGGCCGCGGAAAACGCGGCCAGCGACGCTCAGCGGGGGACAGGCCACCACCGGAAGCGCGTGGGGGGCGCTCGGGCGGAAGACCGCGCACAGTGGGCTGGGGGCGCCGCGAGGGGCGGGGCCTGCGCGCGCCGGGGGCGGGGCCCGCGCAGGTCACGTGACGGGCCCGGCGGTGGTGGCGGCGCGGCGGCGGCGACGGCCGCGGCGTCTAGAGCGGCGCCCCAGTGCAGGATGTTGCAGGAGACGGCGGCGGTGTCTTTGGCGGCAGCGGGCGGAGGAGCGGCGACGGCTGAGGCGCCCGCGGGCGGGATAAAATGGCGGATTTCGAGGAGTTGAGGGTGAGCGTCGCGGCGGGAGGGGGGGAGCGGAGGCCGCAGGGCGGGCGGGGGGGAGGGGAGGCGGGAGCAGCAGCTCTGCGGCGCCGCTTGCGGCCGGTTGGCGGAGCCGCATCCTCGGGCGCTGCGCAGGGAGGGACGGAGCGGGCGAGGGCGGGCGGTTGGCCCGGGGTGGCTGCCGCGCACCTGGCGGCCCAGGGCCGGCGGACTGGCTCGGCGGGGCGCGGGCGGCGGCGATCGCCGGGGCTGCGTGGCCGCCGTTCACCGGTGAAGATCGCCTGCGGAAACGTGCGGTCGCCTTTAGGAATTTTCCGCGCCCCGCCGTGGTCGAGGCAGGTCTGTCACGAGCTAAGGCCCCTTCCTCCCACCGGCGCTTCCTCGGCTTGGGGAGAAGCGCGCTCTTTTGGGAACACCGCCTTCCGTAGTTGGCCTTAGACCGGTCACTTGGTTTGTAACCATGGTAAGGTATCTTCAGGGTCCGTGTTGTCATATAGTTCGTGCGCTCCTTTTGCTCTTGAGGAAAAACTGTTTCTTAGCCTCCGAACAAGGTCATAACTTTATTGTTGATACCTTTATAGTCGGGGTCTAAAACAGAGGCTGGAGGTTACACAGAAAAAAGATTTTTTTTCCTCCAACAGACTGATCTTCAGAGAAATCTTATTCGTAGCCAAACCAGGATTGAACCCTGAATTACGACATATGTGGGATGTTTACAGATAGAAACCCTGATTGTTTTGTTTGTTTGTTTTTTAATTGTGTTTTAAAGTGGAGACATGTAAGTCTGGATTTGAAGTTAAATCTGCAGCCAGTTGGGGTAAATTAGCCATGGGTGATGTTTGGATTACTTTACTTCACTGGTAAACTGTTCTGCTTTGTAAGACTGTTATTTTTGGGGAAAGGATGCAGTCTGGTTGGACACCAACAAAAGAAAGAATGTGAGGGACTGCACAGCACCTGCCATTTTCCTTCTGTTTCAGAAATGAACGACTTTTCCAATAAAAAGTTAGCGATCCATGTTGTAGCCCCTATCAGTTTATACAGAAAACCGTGATTGTGAAGGATAATTGAACTGTACCACTCCTGTGTTTAGTGATGCTCCTGAAACAGCGTGCCTCACTACAGTAAACCCAACACTGGATTCATTTTGCCCCGCAATATTGCCTTAACTTTTATCTTATTTTTTTTAAAGATTTATTTATTTATAAATAAATATTAAAAAAAGGAATACAACATTCCTTCCATGTATGCTTGCATGCCAGAGGAGGGCACCAGATCTCATCATAGATGACTGTGAGCCACCATGTGGTTTTTGGAATTGAACTCAGGACCTCTGGAACAGCAGTCAGTGCTCTTAACCTCTGAGCCATCTCTTAATAACATGTTTATTTTCTCTTCCAGGGATGGGAGGTTTTTCTTTTTGTTTGTTTTTAATTTTGGTTTGTGGGAAGCTGTTAGAAATGTCACTGGTTGCCAGGCGGTGGTGGCGCACGCCTTTAATTCTAGCACTTGGGAGGCAGAGGCAGGCGGATCTCTGTGAGTTCGAGACCAGCCTGGTCTACAAGAGCTAGTTCCAGGACAGGCTCCAAAACCACAGAGAAACCCTGTCTCGAAAAACAAAAAACAAAAACAAAAAAAAAGCTGGGCGGTGGTGGCGCACGCCTTTAATCCCAGCACTTGGGAGGCAGAGGCAGGCGGATCTCTGTGAGTTCGAGACCAGCCTGGTCTACAAGAGCTAGTTCCAGGACAGGCTCCAAAACCACAGAGAAACCCTGTCTCGAAAAACCAAAAAAAAAAAAAAGAAAGAAAGAAATGTCACTGGTTAAAGTGAGAAACTAACTTTAATCATATAGGGTGGAAAGGGCATCAGAATTCAGATCAAAGTGGAACCAGGACCTTGAAAGTAGTGCAAACCAAAGCATCCCTTTTCTCTCTCTCTTTCTTCTTCTTCTTCTTTTATTTCTTTTGTATTTCGAGACAGGGTTTCTCTGTGTAACAACTCTGGCTGTCCTGGAACTCACTCTGTAGACCAGGCTGTCCTTGAACTCACAGAGATCCACCTGCCTCTGCCTGGGATTAAAGGCGTGTGCCACCACAGCCCAGCCCCCTTTTCTCTCTTCTCCATTTTGTTTTGTGGATATGCTTCACTTTCCCATCACTGGAATCACCTGGTGTTTGTATCTCCTTGTGCTTGGTCAAAGGTAATGTTCTTGGCTCCCTCCACTTTAGTAGAATGACTTGCCAGAGGTTTCTGTCCCACCTGGTCTGCAGCTGTTCAGTCCCAAAGAAACACACAGACGTCTACATTAATTGTAAACTGGTTGGCCTATTCGCTCAGGCTTCTTATTAACTAATTCTTACATCATTTTTGTCCATGTTAGCCACATGGCGTGGTACCTTTTATCAGCGAGGCATTCTCATCTTGCTTCCTCTTTGTCAACTGCAAACCGAGTCTTTCTTCTTCCCAGAATTCTCCTGTTCTTGTCTCCCTACCTCTATTTCCTTCCTGGTCTGCCTGCCTATACTTCCTTCCTGGCTACTGGCCAATTAGCATTTTATTAAAACAATACAATATAAGCGATGGGGTACATGATCATTGTCCCACAGCATTCCCCCCTTTTTTCTAAAACAAGAACTCTGAATTTAATCTTCCTTGTTTAGTTTTTTCCCCCCAGACTGTTATCCATAATAACTTGTAGCCAACACTCTAAACAAAGATAAATATCCAAAAGATATTTTTTTGGGAACGTGGGTGGAGTTTTCCAGGCTACTTCCTGCTGATCAGGGGTGCTGATAATCATATGGGAACCTAAAGAAAATTTAGAATTATTTTATTTTATTTTTTTGAGTTTTCGAGACAGGATTTCTCCGTAGCTTTTTGGTGCCTGTCCTGGAACTAGCTCTTGTAGACCAGTTTGGCCTTGAACTCACAGAGATCCGCCTGCCTCTGCCTCCCGAGTGCTGGGATTAAAGGCGTGCGCCACCACCGCCTGGCGAAAATTTATAATTATGATCAAGTCCTGACTGGAATATTCTGTGAGACTTGGTCATCTCAGCCAGCAGTCTTGAAAGTGTTCTGGATGTAGAACTTAGACATCTGGGCCATCTGTTCCTGTCGGAGATTTCTCAGGGGGGTCTTCCTTGATCAAATCTGATTTTTCTTAACCCAGAAGGAACTACAGCCTCTCATTTTGTGTGGCAAAACCTCTTTTCCAAAGTAACATATCTTTTGACTTAAATTTTGAAGTCAAGGCACTTTCAAAATATATATGTTAGATTAATCAGGCAGCATTTATAATCAAATGTCTTTTAGCAGGTGTTGCTCCTCCCTCAACATTCAAACAATTCAAAGACAACACAATAACATACAGTATCCAGACTCTGTGTATTATCCATCCTTATGTGGCTTTATTTTAAACTCAATTTTTTTTTTTAATTTTACATTTTGGCTTTTTGAGACAGGGTTTCTCTGCATCTTTGGAAGTCCTGGAACTCTCTATAGACCAGGCTGTCCTTGAACTCACACTGATCTGCCTGCCTCTACCTCCCAAGTGCTGGAATTAGAGGTGTGTGCCACCACACCGAACTACTCTCTTTCTTTGTTTGCTTCCTTCCTTCTTTCTTTTCTAAGACTTCATCCTTTTTTTCTCTCCCAAGCCTACATATATTTTTAAACACACTCCAAACTGTTTAGAGGTTTTTTTTTTTTTTTTTTTTTTAGTCTGAATCTATCTTTACGATATAGCTCTCTTTTTCTGACCACTTGAGTCTTTAATTTGCTAAGAGATGTGGCTAGGATTAAAGCCGTGACTTTGACGACTGGATCCCACCCATTCCTTATCTTTCTGAGAGTCTAGCGTTGTGGAGCTACTGGCTGGAGCCACAGCTCTTTGGAGATTCAAGGTCCCTGCCACCAACAAGAAATGTGCTGTCAGCTATTTATAAACACCATTTAAGTACTTTGTGGCAGAGCCTCTTAAAGAGCTGCAAGGTTTTTGCAGCTAAAGCTGAGTCAAGAAGCCTCTCTTCAATGAGACCCACTTGCCTCTGCAAGTGGCAAGAAAATGATAATATGCTGCTACGAAGAAGCTGTGCTTAACTGTCCTTTTGTGTTAGAATTACTTCCCAAACTCTCAGGTTTTATGTGGATGCAGTTATCCATGTTGGCGCCATTTGTTGACAGAAATTTCTGTCCCACCTGGTCCCTCAGCTGTTTAGTTCCACAGCAGATGACCACCAGAGATTTGGCCTCTGAGGGTTTTCAGAGGAAAGGAAGGAAGGTTGCAGGCTGAGTAGATGCTAGAAGATTATCTGCTATGTTTTGCCTTAGCTGCTTAGGGTGGACACGTTATCCTACTTCTTAGTGCAAAAAGTGATGATGATGATGATGGCACATATCCATTTTAGTATGTTCCTGTATGTGCTGAACTCTGGTTCAGATACTTCATATATACATTGTTATTCTCATAATTCTGTGAAGAAAGTAAAACATAGATTAAGTTTTGACCTAGCTCCCAGTTTGAAGGTAGAAATAATCAAATTTGAAACAGCAGTTATTTGACTTCAGAGTTCTGTTAGATTTTATTGTCCCGGTGACTTTGGGTCTAAGTGGAACTCCTAATCACTGAAAGTCATAGAATAAATTAAATGATAAACGCCACCATTTTGTAACATAAAAGTGGAAGGAAAACTGGAGAGCAGGCTAAAAAACAAGAGAAACATGAAAAAAAAAGAACGGGAAGAAATATGGATGACTCTCAGATGATAGTTTCTGGTCCAGTTTATATTCTGTTCATCAAAATGACAAATTATAGGACCATGCAAAATTATGGACGTTAACTTTTTGGTTTTCTTCTTGGCAGTGGGAGATATGTTAGACTGATTTGGATACTGCAGTTTAGCTGCTGAGGATCAGTGTAGGATTAGTTGTTGCGTAGGACTGATTCTGTGCCTATACTGGAAACAAAGATCTTCTTCCCTGGTGTGGTTTAGTTATACCTGTCATTACCACTTTTTAGTCTTGGTAAAGGGTTGGGGATGAGAGGTATCATTTGATAAGGTAGCTGCAGACAAGACAGTGATAGACCTAGTGACATATGTGTGCCACAGAATATGGCAGCTCTGTGTTTTGCCTTTCAGTCCAAAGTGACTAGGAGGTTATCAGTATAGTTTTCTTCTGTTCTTCTGAGAGAATTTAGTGAATCTAGAGCTTTGACTAGAGTCCTCTGAACTAGAGCCAGGGCTTTGGAATCATGGTACAGACTTGATATAGGAAACCATTCGAAGGGTTGGAGAAAGGAAAGAAGTTCTTTGAGAAGAAGAGGTGGCTTGTGTAGTCAAAGGTGATTATGATAGTGTGACTTAAGAAGCTTTCATGTGGTGGGGAAATTATTTGGCTCCCTAGATGCTTACTTAAAGCATCTTTGTTATAATTGAAGGGATGACCAACTGGTTTGTGAATTA